TTTGCGCTATAAACAAAAAAAGTGAAAAAAAAAAAAAAGTTTCTTTGTTTCTATTATAAATTTTTGCAAACAGGTAATTTTTCTCCTTCACTGATGTGCGTTGATGAGGCAGCACTGATGGGCACTGATAGACAGCACTGATAGGCGGCACTGATAGGCAGCACTAATGAGGTGGCACGGATAGGCGGCACTGATAGGCGGCACTGATGATGGGTACTGATAGACAGCACTGATAGGTGGCACTGACCAGAATCACTGCTGGGCACTGACTGGCGGCATTGTTAGGTCTTGACTGGCGGCATTGTTAGGCATTGACTGGCGCAACTGCTGGGCACTGACTGGCACAACTGCTGGGCACTGACTGGCAGCATTGGTGGGCTGCACTGATGGGCACAGGTGGGTGGCACTGGTGGGCACAGGTGGGTGGCACTGGTGGGCACAGGTGGGTGGCACTTCTGGATGACACTGCTGGGCACAGGTGTGTGGCACTGCTGGGCACAGGTGGTTGCACTGCTGGGCACAGGTGGGTGCACTGCTGGGCACAAGTGGGCGGAACTGGTGGGTGGCACTGCTGGGCACTGATCATCAGTGCCCTGATGATCGGTGCCGATCCCTGCTCTAACAACTGCCGGTTCTCAGCAGTACTTTCCTCACGATCTGACAGCGTGAGGAAAGTGCAGCTGAGAACCGGCAATTGCATTTCCCTGTGATCAGCGTGTCATTGGACACGGCTGATCACGTGGTAAAAGACCGCTGTGATTGGCCTTTTACCACATCACGTGATCAGCTGTGTCCGTAGGACACAACGATCATGGAGATCGCCAGGTGCGCGCCCCGGGGGGGCGCGCAGGAGAGTGTGTTCTGGGAGGACGTCATATGACGCCTTCCCAGAACTGGCCGGCCGCAGTGTAGCCGTCATTTGGCTATCTGCGGTCGGCAACTGGTTAATATTCCACGGTCAATTGTTAGTGGTATTATAACAAAGTGGAAGCAACTGGGAACAACAGTAAATCAGCCACGAAGTGGTAGGCCACGTAAAATGACAGAGCAGGGTCAGTGTATGCGGAAGCACACAGTACGCATAATTTGCCACCTGTCTGCAGAGTCAATAGCTAAAGACCTCCAAACTTCATGTGGCCTTCAGATTAGCACAACAACAATGCGTAGAGAGTTTCATGGAATAGGTTTCCATGGCCGAGCAGCTGCATCTAAGCCTTACATCACCAAGAGCAGTGCAAAGTGTCGGATGCAGTGGTGTAAAGTATGCCACCACTGGAGAAGTGGAGATGTGTTCTCTGGAATGATGAATCACATTTCTCTGTTTCGAAATCTGATAGATGTGTCTGGGTTAGGCGGTTGCCAGGAGAACGGTACTTGCCTGACTGCATTGAGCCAAGTGTAAAGTATGGTGGAGGAGGGATTATGGTGCGGAGTTGTTTTTCAGGGGTTGGGCTTTCCAACCCCTGAAAAAGGGGGAATTCTTATGGCGTCACCGTACCAGGACATTTTGTACAATTTCATGCTCCCAACTTTGTGGGAACAGTTTAGGGATGATTCCTTCTGATTCCAACATGACTGCGCTCCAGTGCACAAAGCAAGGTCCATAAAGACATGGATGAGTGAGTTTGGGGTGGAGGAACTTGACTGGCCTGCACAGAGCCCTGACCTCAACCTGATAGAACACCTTTGGAATGAATTAGAGCAGAGACTGCAAGCTAGGCCTTCATATCCGACATCAGTGCCTGACCTGCACTTCTGGTATGGTCAAACAGTCCCATAGACACACTCCTAAACCTTGTGGACAGCCTTCACAGAAGAGTTGAAGCTTTTATAGCTGCAAAGGGTGGGCCAACACAATATTGAACACTACGGACTAAGACTGGGATGCCATTAACGTTCATGTGCATGTAAAGGCTGGCGTCCCAAAACTTTTGGCAATATAGTGTAGATTATAATACTTCAATATGCTCACCCTATAGCCAAAGCAAACAAGTGCTAAACTAAATAAACTATGCATAAAGGTATAAATCAATTGAATCAAGTACATATAATAATATAAACGTGTCAAAAAAAAAAAAAAATTAATAATATAAACGCAGTGTTCCAAAATAAATATAAACGCAGTGTCCAAAATACCAAGGTATAAATTGAATCAAGTACAAAAATTAATAATATAAACGCAGTGTCCAAAAATAAATATTATAAACACAGTGTTCAAAATACCAAGTGTCCAAAAATATTAAAGTCACACACTAAAGATGCAAATCCAAGTCCTTTCTGCACACACTTTCCCAAAAAGACTCCAAACTCCAAAGTGATACTCAAAAAAAAAGAAACTAAAATAGTGTATTATCCCTAAAACAATAATGTACAATCATATACAACACAAGTGTCACTCCACATCAAACGTGACCATATATGTGAATCAAGTGCTCGACGTGAAAAAATGTGCTAGTGAAACACTCTGGTGATCCAACAAATCAAAAAATCAAAGTGCTAGTAGTAGTGCACACTTCTATAGTGTAATGACTGAATACCCTTACCAGATGGCAAAAGAAACAGCACTTTAATACCACTAAGGGTATACACCATCCAAGGAAAGCTAATCCAGCCTGGATATGTTCATTGAGATGTCCTCATAGCCTCATGGATAATGCTCCTAGCTGTCATCAGGACCTTGAGCAGGATTACTCCATAGTATTCATAGTACCCATCATATATAAAAAGGATATTTAGTGTAATTCTGTATGGTAGAAATAAATAACACTTTATTATGCTCTTACTTTTAAAAACAGATAAATAGCACCATAGCTCTCATAACCCAAACTTCTTGCAGAGCTCAGCAGCTATAAGAAGCATCTGGATGTGATTTCTTATCTCCAAACCTAAATGCAGAGTCTCAGCAGTAGACTTACTGCTTAGCATCTGGATAAGATCTCCTAATCCAAAAAACCCCATGCAGAGTCTTAACAGCTAGCAGAAGTGTCTGAATAAGATAACACTACTTGCCAAACCTCTTGCAGAGTCTCAGCAGCTAGCAGAAGTGTCTGGGTCAAATTTTCCAATTTCCAAAATGGCCAATTTGCCACTTGCGGTTCCTTCATTGTGTCTGACGTCACTTCCTTGACTTGTTTCGTCTCAGGGACTTACTCATAAGGGTCCTTGAAAATAATTTGTATTGATGTCAAATCAAGTGCCACGGGAACAGACTACAAGCCCCATTGTGCAGGTGGAAAGTTTTCTTGGAAGTGGGTGGGATTATGGGTTATCACAGTATATCTTCAGGTTTCTGCCCACATCATCCGTCAGTAACTGTCATACAGGGTAGGACAGACCAGGAGTCTGAGAAGCCCAGGTTCTCCCACTGTTTATTTAAGTCACCATTCATATCCTAAAATTACACAGGGGCTGTTACCTGACTGGTGGAACAGGGAAATAGTGGGCAAAGCAGCTACCAGCCTTGCAAACAGGAAACCGGAGTCAGCGAGCACTGTAAATTCAAGGATCATACAGAAATTTCTCTGTGACAGCTAAAAGTAATGAAACAGAAGCACCACATATCTATAAAAGGTTTGCATCATCTATCAATAAAATGGTTTTAAATTTGTGCTAGGAGTTCAGGTTTAAGTGATGGGTGGTAATATGCCTATAGGGGCCTACAGGAGGGAGAGAGCTCTGAGCTGGCAAAATCACTGTGTTGTTGGTAGTGTAAAGAGCAGAAAGGAGTTAGTGGTACAGATTCTGCAGAATCACAGAAATCTGAAAAAGCTTTTCTTCCCTATTTATGCTGTGCATTTTTATGACACAGCAGTACAGGGACTTTGCCAACCATTTGGCAGGTGGCAGCAACTCCTTTTCCTCACTTAGCATGTGCACAAATGTCTAATAAATTAGACAATTTTCAGTGCCAGAATGGTTGGTTTGAGCAGTTGCAAGATATGATTTATGCTTTAAATATTTAGAGTGAATGGATCAGAACACAAGATCGGTTCAGTGAATCCCTGTTCAAATCACAAAATTACCTTGTCTTGCGCAGGAAAATTCACCTTTGGTCAGTGTCATTGTTAGAAGATTCAGGCTGTCCATTTGTCCTAGTGACCATTGTCCCAGAGACAGAAAGTGATAGAAAAATTTATTTTACTGTTGTCAGCAGAACATGATGTGAGGGTAAAACATTCCATTTCCCTCACATTGCAAATATTTCATCCCTTTTTCTGTTGCATCTCCAGGACAGAAATTTCCCCAACGAGACTCAGACATCACTAAATATGAAATGGCAGGCATGTTAAACCTTCCCTATTCTATGCAAAACTGAAAATAAGTTTTGGCTATACATACACTTTTAAATGCATCATCCCCACATTAACGGCTAACAGTTATATGAGTGGCTGTCTGTGAAGCTGGATTTAACATCCTGCTCTTTTAAGGATAGCATACCTGTGCCAATTTTATTTTTTTATATTTTCAAGCTCCTTTAAATTTACAGCCGAGGGCGTGGTAAAATCATGCAGTTGTCATGGTTTTACTTCTCCCTGACTGCCCACCTTAACCTTATATGTTGGTTGGACAGACTTGTACATATGTCACAGCAAAAATTATACCTCATGCTGCATGTGCTTGGCAGTACTGCTGCCAAAATATGACTCATTGAAGGTAATGGGGCTGTCCTGCAACTGTGTTATGGACATGGTTGTGGCACGGTGCTGCAGGCTTTCAAAGGTTAAAACAGGCATCCAGGAGGCAACAAATCACTTCCCAGCCACAAATCAACTTCCTTTCTGAAAAGCGATCCACTGTGGATCTCTTTTCAGAGAGGCAGCAATCACAGCTGCAAGTGTAAACAAGCCCTTACAACGGTATTACAATGTTTTTTGTTTAAGAACTGCATAAAGCAGTGTAAAGCTATTTTTCCATTTTAGCTTGCATTTGTGGCTAATAAGCAAAAATTGTATACCAAGAAATTTTGTTTTTAAGATAATTTTCTGTGTTTTTAATTACAGGTATGGGCTCCTTGGAGGGACAAACTCTGAATGGAAGCTGGAATGAATTTCAAAGCAAATTTTGGGAATTGTATAAGGTGGGTTATGTAAGGATGGATACATTAACCCTAAATCAATCGAACCAGCAAACAATCTGCATACTTAAGACCAGAAGTTGTTGAAACTAACAACTTAATCAGTTCATACACCTTCCTACCTACCTATAATGCAGAAGAACTAAACCTTTCTGGCTGTGATGAAATAGAATGTTGTTGTGTAGTAGTAGCAACCCCCCCCCCCCCATAAAAAAAATACAGCTATTTCCTGAGAGCAATACGAAGGCTGACATTCCTATTTCACATTCTGCTAGCTGCCTGTTATACTGACACTCTTGCATCTATGCTTTTAATTACTTATCTGGAACATATATGCACATGAGGAGTGTTTTTGTTCTGATATCCCTGAATATTTGTTTAGGTCAGGGAAGCTTTTTCAACCAGTAACAGTCAGGCAACTAGCATCTTCAGAAAGTGATAATGGCAGCCTCCATTTTTTTCATCAGAAAAATGTTGCTCTAAACACAGATTGTAATGGGAGATAGGGCTAGTACTTTAAATCACAAGTATCCCTAGATGTTTATAACTGTAATGCAGTAAGGCTGGAGTGCTCTATTTCCCTAAACAGCACCGATTAGAGCAGTGTTTGGGGTGGGTATTTTAAACCTACACTGCCTTAGATGCTTGGGATAGCAATACGAAGTATCCTACAATATATAATATAATTTTTAAATATAATCTTAAAGTGTTTGTAAAAGCTCAAGGTTTTTTACCTTTATGCATTCTAAGCATGAAGGTAAAAAACCTTTTCTGTGTAGCAGCCCCCCCTAATACTCACCAAAGCCCCCTCTCGATCCAGCGATGTGCGCTGGGGTCTCAGCTATTGGACTACCTCTCCTCATTGGCTCCCCCTGCTGTCAATCACACCCAGTGAGTCAGTGAGAAGAGAAGGGGCAGGGCCAAGCTACAGCTCCATATGTGAATGGATACATGGAGCAGCAGCTTGGGAAAGCACCTGCTGGGGTGCCCCCTTAGCAAGCACCTGACAGGAGGGAGGGGCCAGGAGTGCTGGCAGGGGACCTGAGAAGAGGAGGATCCGGGCTGCTCTGTGCAAAAAACCACTACACAGTGCGGGTAAGTATAACATGATATATATATATATATATATATATATATATATATATATAAGCATTTAGTATTACTTTAATGTAAAATGGCAGAATATGTTGCGTGGTCAAGATTTTTTTTTTGCTTTTTGGATGGGGAAGGCTGATGTATTGTGTAATTTAAACATATTTTTAAAAATATTTGTATTCTATTACTTGCAGGCAGAATGGTGTGTGTGGCCACCAGCCCAATTAATCAACTTTTATTTCTTACCTACTAAGTACCGTGTATTGTATGTTAATTTCATATCCCTGGGCTGGGATATCTACTTGTCCTATCTGAAACACAGGGTAAGTCACTTTTTGGCAATATTTATGCAAATTATGAAACCCTGGGTATTTTGGTAACTGCATCTAACTTTGTGTTTATGTATTCAGGTATCAGAGGATGAAAAAGTATGAAGCAGCTGCTAAACCTAAATTGGAAGAGTTACGCCAAGTGCTGTAAATGAAGCTGAAAAGCCCGTTCGTATCTGTTCAATGAAACGTGTAGGTCTAATTAACCTGCATTTGTTAGGTATATGTCAGGAATTAGTGAAATTAATGCTTTTATTGCCTTACAGTGGCATGCTCACATTTCTGTATGCATCTTTCTGCCTTCAATACACCACACATCATGGAAAGAATGGGCAATAATGTTTAATTTGATTCTGAAATGAGTGCTTACTCAAATCATTGAGGTGATTAGAGACTTTAATCACGTGAGTCCCTAATGCCATTTTAAAACGGTTCAGGGATAGTGGTATTCTTCTCAGAGCTGCCCCAGTGTGATTTTAAAATGGTGACTAGTCTCAGTGGTTTCTGCTGGTCCTATCCAGCAGTTCCAGCATTAAACCATTATCTGTGGCAGCTGGGACCCAGTACTAAGCTCAGGGGCTGAAATTACTGGCTAGATCACTGCATCACTGGATCTGTTTCTCACTCTGGTTACTGCACAAACATCAGATGATTACGTGAGTGCACATAAATGTCATTTGACCTGTAAATAAGTTGCTGTTGCACTAATCTGTGCTCTCGTTTACCCGAGTTAATTTTATCTTATACTTTACCTAGAAATTAATGCAGACTTTTTTTATGCTGTGGAAGTCACAATGTAGTGTTGAAAGCTCTCCTAAAGTAAAACACATACGTGCATATCAATATGCAAAGTTAAAATTTTACCATTCTGCAACATTACATAACAGTCACACTAATGTGATATAATTTTAATTAGCAGACTTTGTTGAATATATTTTGGAGCAAATACAGGGGGGAGCACAGATAATGTAAATACTAATTTTATGTTGTATACTCACAATAAAAAAAAAACAAGAAAATACAAATATATGTATCAAAATCTACTGTCAAATTAAAGCCCTATCTAAAAAAAAAAAAAAAAAAAGTGTTAGGGTAGACTGTCTCTAATACGTAATATGTGCAGAACCAAGACTTGCCACAAATGAGAAAACCCTCTGGGACCCAAGGGGGAAAAAAAGGCCTGGGGACTCAAGTGGTTAAATTGCATTTTGTAGCCTTTGGCACAACACATGATAAAGAATGAGCAATCACTTTTAATTGGATTGATAAAAATACACTGGGGTGATGGGGGCCCTTAAACTTATCAGAAACCCTTTTTTTATTTCTTTGTGGTGTTTTAAACTGTCAGCAGTGCTGAAACATGAGCCCCACTAATTTAAACACAAAGAAGGAAAAGCTGGGTCAAGATTCCTGATTTGCATCTAGGGTCACTTGTCAGGGAAGTAGGTCTGACTGGGTGAGTTTATGGACAAGATGGCACTTTTCCTGCCACCCTGACCTGGATTTGCAACCTGTTACAAGATCTTAAAGTTCAATTACTGAGTACAGCCGTAGTTGTCACAGCACTGAAGTTTGAGGCCCAATTCCTCTATTGTCATTTTGCATAGCCTAACTGACTTCTTGGATTTCTATCCGTTTCTTTGTGATGTTTCCATTGCAACATATAGCCATTAACTTATAAATACCCTAATATGCAAAAAACGTATTATCATACACATAAATTGTGAAACAATTAAATACCCATATAAATAATAAAAATTGTGAACAAATATCAAAAATTCAAATTATCAAATGAGTCACTAGTGTCCAAAATTAAAGTCCTTCCAATCTCTAATTCCAATGTGAAAATGTGACACCCCTTATGACTAAGTCCTGGAAGTGACGAAACGTGTCAAGGGAAGCGACGTCGGATGCACAGAGAGGAACCGGAAGTGGCAGATCGCCCATCTTGGACACTGGAAAATACATGCCAAACAATCTAGGAAGCTGCTCGGCGACCGGAGAGGTTTGAGGGTATGGGAATAAGGCGAGTTTGATACTGTTTTCATGTACCCATGTAATAAAAGTATATTTTGATAATCACATATGGTATTACACTATATATTTTCTCATATACCATTCACATATCGATTGGAGCATGGGTACTATGAGTAATATGCAGTACCTCCAAATAAGCCATGATGACATCTAGGAGAAGGTGGTTTATGACATCATAAAGAGCGAGATTCAGGCTTGGAAGGATTTCATTTGAAGTGTCACATACGCTATCAGTGATAATTAAGGTGTGTTTATAGTTGTTTTTTGGTAAGGTTGTTTATGCCTTACACCTAGAAGTGTACACGGAAGGGACACTTGGATTGATATTCACAGAGTAACGCACAATCACGGTTGTTACACTGTGTTCACTTTTCACTGATAAGGTCATGTGTTGTTTTTTTGATTTTCTGTGTTGGAAATTGCACAGTGCATAGTGTTGTTGTATTGGATATTTATTTTTTAAAAAAAGGTAATGCACTATATGAGTTTTTTTTTTTTTTTGAGGTTCTTATTTTCTTTGGGAGCCAATAGGAGGGTTCGCTGTTACGGAACCGGAGATTTTCTCATTGGAATTAGAGATTGGAAGGACTTTAATTTTGGACACTATTGACTCATGTGATTATTTGAATTTTTGATAATTGTTCACAATTTTTATTATTTATATGGGTATTTAATTTTTTCACAATTTATGTGTATGATAATATGTTCTTATTGGGGTATTTATAAGTTATTTACACTTTCAAGGGTGAAAGTTAAACCTTTTATATGCTAGAGGGTTTAAAATATATATACAATTTTTTTATTTACATTGTGGATACCGTAGTTCCATATATAATTTATAGCCATTGACACACTTTAAGGGAATGATAATGGTTTGGGGTAATTTAAGTTTCTGAATTGACATTTTATATGTTTTTAGAGTTTATGTAAAATGTTATTTTACAAATAAACATTTAATGCAGGTTGTTTTGGTGACACAGGGTTTTCACAGTATTCTGGATTTTATGAAAAAAGCACATCAGTACATTTCTATAATTTAAATCCTCCAAGAAAGGGATACAAAGCATTCTATTCAGCTCTGTGTTATTTGGGTTGCAGCAATTGGCTCTGTTTTTTTTTCAGGAAAGCACTTATAGAGGAGCTAAAGTAAAAAGTACCTCTCTGTTCCCAATTGTCTTTATAATTTACAATAGGCTGTGCGTGTGCAGCTCGGTGTACATTCTTGGGACACCTTGGTGTGGAACTCACATGCACGGGAGTTGCATCATTTCCCCTCTGGACAACCAAGATGGCTAAAGTCCCCACACACGGAAGAACCTTTGAAAACAGTATTGATGATGGCTAGGGAACCGTTTGGATTTCTCATTCCTGTAGATGAGTATTTGCAGACTTCAAAGTGCTACTAAACCCAAACAGTAAAATCAGTCTTTACAGTTGTGTTCAAAATAATAGCAGTGTGTTGAAAAAAGTGAATAAAGCTCAAAATCCTTCTAATAGCTTTTATTTCCATACACACAAATGCATTGGGAACACTACACATTCTATTCCAAATCAAAGCATGAAGAAAAAATATATAAAATTTGTGTTATGCCTTCAAAAAAATTGAAGAAAAGTGAATATTAGACTGTTCAAAAAAATAGCAGTGTTTGTATTCTTTACAAACTCAAACATTCACTATATAAACTGAAAAATGTTTGAAGATTTTGCTTTCCTTTGAATCAATTAATATTTAGTTGTATAAGCACTGTTTCTGAGAACTGCTGTACATCTGTGTTGCATGGAGTCAACCAACTTCTGGCACCTGTGAACAGGTATTCCAGCCCAGGATGATTGGATTACATTCCACAGTTCTTCTCTATTTCTTGGTTTTGCCTCAGAAACTGCATTTTTTATGTCACCCCACAAGTTTTCTATTGGACTAAGATCCGGGGATTGGGCTGGCCACTCCATAACGTCAATCTTGTTGGTCTGGAACCAAGATGTTGCACGTTTACTGGTATGTTTGGGGTCGTTGTCTTGTTGGAACACCCATTTCAAGGGCATTTCCTCTTCAGCATAAGGCAGCATGACCTCTTCAAGTATTCTGATGTATTCAAACTGATCCATGATCCCTGGTATGCGATAAATAGGCCCAACACTGTAGTATGAGAAACATCCTCATATTATGATGCTTGCGCAACCATGCTTCACTGTCTAGAGAGGTTTTTTTTTTTTTTCCTTGGGAGAGTGCATGTGATCAGCACAGGGCCAATCAGCACTGCCCTGACAGAGGTCAGGGGTTCTACATCCTCCTAGAGCAGAAAGAAAACCCTTCCTATAAACTTTAACCAGTGCTCGTCTGAAGTCACAAGACTGCTCTAACTACTGATGAAAAAAGGTATTTAGCAGTTTATATTTACTAAAATAATTGCACTTCCATGTTCTGTGTATTATGCGACACCAGATATAGTGAATGCAGGATCCTGGGTTTAGTAACACTTTAAGTCACTTTAAGATTACACAAAAGAAAAAAAAAAACCATCAGTTGACTGGAATAACAAATATAACATATTCCTATAAAATTTATCTGATTAAAAAAAAAGGTTTTCTTTGGTCCCATTCATACTTGAGCATATTTCTGCTTTTTCCCCATGCCTGACTACACCTTACTATGCTTGACTACACAAAATCCCATTCTTTCTAACTGTGCTTGTCACACTACACCCAAAAGCTCAAAAAAGTACATGAGCTTTTTCTTGAGCGTGTTCAGGCATTTTTGTTCCCATAGGTTTCAGTAGGAATTAGACAATTTGATTGGCTCTGAGGAAGAGCGGATTGCCCCTCAAAATGCTACAGCCTTTTGGATCAGCTATTCCCAAAAAGGACTTGTCCAGGGGGTGAGGTCGATCCCATGTATTGTCTGACTGACATACCATTTATTTCAAGTCCTTTGTGAGTACACATCCACTTTTTATTCATATAAAGTTAATACTGAGGTAATCTGCTAGGCTGGTGCGCCTTCTGTTCTTTATGTTTTTATACTTCAATGGGAATGCCTGTAAAATGCCTCTAAAATACATTTCAAAATC